AAGTTGTGACCAGATCCGCTCCCACGTCTGCATCATTTTGACTAACTCACATGCATGTAGAACAAGCATACGTCAGTTAACCAAATCATATAATGCCTCATTAAGATCACAAAGTGAGGTATAAGAAGAAAGTATGATCTCAGATGGCCACCTTTCTCGGTGATCTTTCGTGAATACTCGTTTCCGGCTCTGACGATGTCTGTCACAGAATGGAGGAAGGCTCAACACGGAGTCATCGGGGTCGTGAGACGGTGAGCAGAAGTCTTCTTCGCACAATCGAACAGACAAAAGTCAAGGGCAACCCTCCTTTGGTATCCGATGGTACCAATCCACCAATCCCTTTGACCTGCCTTCTCAAACGAAATGAAAGGTACGCCAGTTTATGATTCACGTTAAGCTACTTACGAGGCAGATCCAGGACCCTTTTTTGGGCAAAACTAAAGCACGCCAACCTTAACAACCTGAGGTGACACTTTGCAACTCTCCCCTTTGTTGATGCAACCTCAAAAATTAAGTTGGTGGTTCCAAATTGTATACAACTGCATCAATTCATTCAACTCTGGGGGTCCGCAACGATCAAAGGAGGCGCTGATGAGGTTCGAAGTTTGAGGGAGTCTCGTTTGAACTGTCCGCCTTCGGAACCGGACAATTTCGACATCGCTTTTTGCGCGGATGCGACGGCTTGGGGCTCGAGTCCGGCTGGACGAGACAGACGGTTGGTTCATCAGAGACCAAGTTGCGCAGTCCGAAGCCTCGAATGACGGTGCTGGTGCCCAGTCTTGCTCTCTCCTCTCTTGACTCTGCCTCCTTAGCCTTCTCTCTTCACCGACCACATTCTTGGGCTGGCCTCGACGACAGTCGTTGACCTCGTAGAAACGTCATCCGCTCTCCAGAGCTGACTCGAGTCCGCGGTACGGCCGGCACATGACGATGTCCTCTTCTCTCCAATCTGGACATGCGACAACTCGGCCTCGCAGCATGTTTTTGGGTCGACTTGGAGACAGCAAGGATTTCCCACTAAAGCCATCAGAGAAGGGAAATGTATGTGAAAGTGTCCGTAGCATTTCCGGCCGTTGCAATCCCAGATTCTGAACACAAGCTGACCGTACCGACTCTCAGTCAAAGGGAATATCTCGAATTTTCGCATCATCCATCATGCTTAACGGCTCGTTTGCCGGGTTCTGCCGCAACGGCTGGCCGTGAATCTGGAAGGAGGCGCACCGACAGTGCCTCATCCACGCCGCCGAGCTCTTCACAACTTCCTGTCTGGGTCTGAGACGATCAGGCGCCAACTTCCCGCGCCAATTGCAGCCTGCATCGCCGGACAGTCCTGCCTAAAGTGCCACTGCTGGGCACTGGATGAAACTCGAGCCGGCTCGAAGCCGGATTTCAGAGTTTAACTTTCAGTGCATGAGAGAAAGAGAGAGAGAGAGTTCACAGTTGGCCTATCAATTCCGACTTTCTCTGGAGTTGTTTTGGAAAAACCCGAACCATTCATCGACAAACCATCGACTTGGAGGATTATCTTTTCCAGAATGGGGTTGCCCAGCCAATCGACTCCATTGCTTAAATTGAGAAACTGTATGCATCCAGATTATAATGAGATATTTAGCAGGAACATTATTTCTCCAAATTATACCAAAAAACCCACAAATATGACTAAATTCAATATAATTGGAGGCAATATTCATAATATCGAAATCTACTTATTTTGGATAGTAGTAATGTAGTCGATTGCAATGGAAAATGCTGGTCTGCTTTAGTGACAATCTCACAATAAAATTGTGATATGGAAAAGGTTTAACATGCCTTAAAGCTGACTCTGCCGTGGCACACTCACACTTGAGGTTCTGTAGAGTGGCGGCGAGATGTCAAGATTTCCCTTTGAGGGTTGGAGCGAAGTCAAGGCTGAAGTGCAATCCACTCTAGTCTGGAGGAGAATAACTTTTGGGACGAAAGATTAGGTAAACTTTAAAGGCATTCGAAGGCATCGTACTTTATTTATTGTTGGAACATCCAGCAATATGATTTTCATCCCTATAAACAACCTAGGGAAACCACGACACTTTCTTCAGTCATGCCCACTTTTAGAGAGAAAGTTGACCCCTTCTCCAAATCGGGTTGCTATAAAATAATGTGTTCATGCGGTCGTTTTTATGTTGGAGACACTTTTCGTCCCATTCGACAAAGGCTGGCTGAGCACAAAAGCGCCTGTAAAGGTTGTTGGCTTCAAAAATCGGAGCTTGCTGAGCACAGGCCAGAAACGGGACTCGAGATTGAATGGTCTCAAACTTGTCGTTTTGCTGATTTTTGCATGTTTGCGGCTAAACGTAAAATTAGAGAAGTCATAGAAATAAACCAAATAGGAAATACATTGAATGTAAGGAATACCGGCAAGAAGATAGGTAAAAACTATTTGAGCCACCTGCAAAAAGGAGGCGACGCAACAAGTCTTTTCTTGTCTTGGTTCTAATCATATTCACTTTTCTGTACTTTTAGCTCGCTTTTTCTATCTCGTCTTGAGACCAAAAACAAAAATAGGCCATCAACAAAACCAGACAAGTGTCCGACCTTGTGCAATCGGAGTGATGGTTATAACATGTTTGTAGAAAGGGGGAGATAGTGGTCATCAAACTTTGATTGCCAAAAACAGACGTCCCTTTTTGCTGTCCTAATTACTTTAAGCCATCACTTCGGGTTTCGTGCATAAGCGAACACAAGCAGGCACATACACATACAGAGACAGACACACTTACATGCATCTAAATTGACATATGACCGTAACTAACCAAATTACCTCATACTTGATCAAAGAGGCCAGATGTAGAGTAGATATACCACTTTTTAGGAATTTTGCCGGTGAGTTTTCTTGATTCTTTAGCTTGAATTTTGTTGATACGATGTCACCTTGCTCTGATGATGTTCGTCATGTGACGGACGAGAGCTTAGCACCTTTTCACCGGAATCGAAAGAGATTGCCTCGGAAACACAGTCTAAATGAATGTTG